AGGCCTGTCCAGCATCCTCCCCTGCCACCTGATCTAACTCACCAAAAGTAGTGATCAGCTGAAAGCTCAATTCCTCTCTTCACCCAAGTGTCCAGAATATATGGCTGCAGATCTGATGATTACAAAATCAATCATAGACCTGCAACCTATGGTATCCTGATTTCTGCACTTTGTGCTCATTTAACCTGCGATCTGTGGTATCTTATGGTATGCTATGGTATCCTGTGCTCTAGACATTCTTATATTCGAACGTGATGTCCATTATGGACAAACTGTGATTCAGTTTAATTCAGATAGAGCACCCTCAAGATCCCCACTCAGTGACTCCAAGAGGACCAGTTACTCTGAACTGTCATTTGGCATATAAGTGCAAACGACAGGACCCATTCCCCGACCCGAAAGTGCAGAGAACAAACCCTTTCAAAAAAACCCAACGTACAGGCAGCTCACCAGTGGGATGCAGGTAGACTCACCCCTGCCCGTGGCCTCTCACCGAGGGCATCTCCAGACTGGAACGACATTGCTCACAGACACATCTGGCTGCTGTCAGAGAGCCTGTGTAGAATTACTGGACAGACTGATGCACATTAAATGGTTCCAGAACACTGAATAAATCTTGTGTATTTCTGTGAGTTTAGGAAAATGTCGATACCTGTAACTAAAATGTACCACGATTTCTCCAACCCTGCAGGCTTTGAGTGAGGCCAAGAAAAGGATAAATGACCTGATTGTTGCTGAGCAGGCACAGAAAACCATCTCTGACCCGTTCATTAGTCAGATGTCACAGGCTGACATGGAGGAGCTGAAGGCTCTGCAGAGGAAACTGACGGTCAGCATCCGTCTGGACAAAGGAGCAGAGGACCAGGACCCCAAGATCCACCTGGAGGGTCTGACCAGAGATGTGTTCACTGCTGAGTCTGCACTTAGGTCAGCAAACAGAGACGTAAATGTATTTCAAGAATGTTCAGTGCAAGGTGCTAATTGCTTTTTCTATTTGATGACCATCAGGGACATCATCCGGAAGGTGGAGAGGGCAGAGAACTCAAAGACACAGGCTTTGTTAGTGAGTAGTCTGGTAGAGTGGCAGTATCCAAACCACAGTGGTTCAATGGTGCCGTTTGACATTTACACCAACCTCAAACTGGAGGAGGCTCTAGAGAAGAAACAAAAGGTGAAGATCAAGATCAACAATGAAATGTACACCGCTGATCCAGGACTTAGAAAAGCAGTTTCAGCAAAGAGGCCTCCTATGGAGCTCTTTCGGAAAGACATGAAGGGTGAGTCATCTAGGCACTTTGTCTTTTATGGAGGTTTTACCTCAGAAAAATGCAACAGGTTAAATGAACACTAAGCGGTGAGTTCTGACTTCTTCCCTTAAAATGTTAAAATACAAAAAATTATAATAAAAATATAAAAAATAAGCTGAAAAACTGAAGAGGTGATCACAGTCCTTAGCCACCACATTTTACATCTTCCACTGAAACTCTAATCACAGCATGTTGTACATATGCACTGTTAGTTTGAACTGAGCTCTTCCAATGATTTTTACAGATGACACTGCTCTGCCTCTGCCTTCTTGTTGGGAGGACATGAAAGGAGACCTTGTGAAGTTGTTTGCTTTGACTCAAGGATCTCAGGAATACAACGACGTGGAGCAGGAACTGACAAAGAATCGACTTCGTGTTAACATCATCAGTGTATGTTCAGTCCCAAATACACGGAGCAGACTGTAGGACTGTGACGGTTAAATCTGGGCCAGTAAAATTAAAGTCTCAGCTTTCATTTTGTTTTTCATACGCTGTAAAAAAAGATGTAGATACCTGCTAATTTATGTCTGTGTAGGTTTTCATTCATCTGTTCTAACAGGCTCCAGTCAAAGATCTTCAGTTCAGTGTTAGAACATTTAACAGAACTGCAGCCATATTATCTGTCAGATAAGAGGACGAGGCTCCAAAAAGCTCCAACTGCACACACATGGTAGACACACAAACTTCTTTAACTTCAGTTAGCTCTGAGGTTCCCAAAGTGGGGCGGGGCAGTATGAATTAAAAAAAAGAAAAGAGAAACG